CTCAGTCATTCACCACGACCATCCCAGGCAAGAAGGATCCAAGCAATTATCCCTGACCGGTCACCCAGGGTTTACAGGAACTTGTTCTTTGAGAGATGGCGATGTCTACCCACACACCTTTTCTCATGCCTGCCTCCATGTCTTAATCTCCCTGCCCTATGTGTTCCACGTCCTAATCTCTCTTAACAGCCTGCTCCTGCCTAGGTTTTCGCCATTTCTTCTACCACTTATTACCCCTCCTCCTTTTCCTCCTTCTCGTTTGGCCTCCTGTATGCTGGACACGTGACTACTTCTAAGCTATATCCCAAGCCCCTTTTTAATTTCTTATTTTGAGACAGGCTCTCAAAAAGTTATTCGGGCTGGGCTTGAACTTGTGCTTTACTCCCAGGCTAGCCTTGATTTCCTGAGAAGCTATGATCACAGGCCTAAACTTCTAGATTTGCCCGTAGGTTTTTCCTCCTGTCAGGGCAATACCTTTGCCTGGTCCCTTCACTCTTCAGTGTACATGCCCTTTGCTCAGGAACCCTGACCACCATTCCCTCTTAATAAACTTTCCCACCCCTGAGGAGGGAGGACTGACTCATTCAAGCTGTCACAACCGTATTGAAAGCGATTTGTTTTCTTCCTTTGCCGCCCATCACTTTTGCTAGACTCTGCTTCACAAGAACACTGACTGCTCCCATTCACTTTCCTGGCTCTGCCACCAACCGCAACACAGCCAGCTATCCAGCACTGATTTCTGTGTAAGCACTGATTGGATGAGCCAGTGACTGACAGGGGAGGCCAGGGAGACCCGATGGGGAAACAAGTCAGAGCACGGATTTTGTGGTCCCTCCTGAGTCAGCCGTCCACAGGTGTCCAGACTGATGAGCGGCATGAAAACTTGAGAACACTAGGTTCCAAACTTAAAATAGCGTTTGGAGTGCTGTGTCCTTTTGGGATCACGCATTTGCTGCTCTAGCCCTTCTTCCCAAGCTTCACTAAACCGTCACTGGGCATCGGCACTCAGGTGGATACACAGGAGGATGAGCGGCCGTGGCCTTGTGTCTATTGACTTTACAGTCCAGCTCAGGACTTGGGCGTCCATAAAGTCTCACACATGTGCCCTGCAGTTATAGCCATATCGGGGTTTGGGATAATGACACAGAGTGAACACCACCCTCCCTCCAATGCTGCCTTTCCTAGAGACAAGAAATGCACAGAAATGAGAAGGAGGACATACTGGCCAAAGACAGGCAGCATTTCTGGTGCACTTTGCTCTGTGCGTGTGTTCTCAGCAGAGGCATGGCTCGTAGTTTCCCGCATCCTTTCACTGATGCTGCTAGAGCACACGGCACGTTTGCTGTATGTTTCAAAAGGAAAATGTCTCCCTCTGGGCTCTTGCTAAAAGATCTAAGTTCCTTAAATGAGGGTTTCTTCTGCTCTGATGCAATCCATGGCATACACAGCATCCATCCCTCAGGCTGCTGTTGTGTCAGGCTTGGGGTCCCAGCGGAAGTCGCCCAAACATCAAGTTCATGCTGCTTGCTACTCATAGGCAATAAAAAGCACTTTATCTTTGTCTTAAATAGTTTTAAATGATAACTTGACACAGCCTACCCGAGAAGAGAGTCTCATCGAGGGTTTCCTCAGATCAGACTGACCTGTGGGTGTGACTATAGGGGATTATCACAACTGTTAATTGATCCAGGTAGGCCTGGCCCTCTGTGGGTAGCACCAATTCTGGGAAGGTGGTTCTGGTCTATAGTTCAAGAGCCAGCAGGCACAGGCCAGTGAGCCAGCAGACAGCATTCCTCCATCGTTACCACTGTGCGTCTGGTTCCTGCTGGAATTTCTGTCCAACCTCCCTCAATGGGAAATTGCTTCCTCCTCTAAATTGCTTCAGTCACAGTGTTTGTTTTAGCAATAAAAAAGAAGCTAATACAACCCTTGCCTCGAGCCCATGGGACCGTGGCTGCTGAGCACATCAGAAAATCTCCAGCCTTCCGTGGTTATTCTATGTAGCATATGCAACGGGCCTGTGGTGGGAAGGAGATACACACAAAGCTCGGAAAGAAGAAGCTGGGGTAGTTTGCTGATTGGAGCGTGGTGTGAGATGAGACAGGAGGTGGCAAGCATGGACCCCTTAGTAAATGAGTGCTACTGACAATGTCACCTTCACATAGGAGATGTAGAATTAATAAACTGAACTTAAGGGCTCGCAGGACCAGAAGACTTACAGCAACCCCACAAGAGAGCTTCTAACAAAGGGAAAGATGAAGCCAGGCAGCATTGTCTTCATACCCTGTGCCACACTGGGCTATTCTGTACTATCTTCATCAGAAATGCAAGGGAGTCTCCCTCACAGTGCCTCAAACAGGAGACACATCTCAGTGGCTACCATTGCTGTCAATCATCTTAGGTTCAAAAGAAGCCTGCCACCTTAAAGAAACCTGTGGTGAGCTTTGCCACTCAGAGTCTAATTTAGGACTGGCCTTCTTGTGTGGTTATTTACAGCATAGGGCTAAAAGGTTTGGGGTGGGGTCGGGGGGCATGGAGAGAGTCCTCGAGGGAAGGCTAAGAATCTGTTCTGGATAATATCTAAGACAGATAGATAGATGGTGGGGGCTACCTTTCCCTGGGGTGCTAGGCAAAGGTGAAGCACTGTTAAAGCACCTTCAATAATCTTAAAGCCACTTTTTGTATTAGCGATTAATTCCTTATTGCAAGTACTCCACCTAATGCTAATTCTCCTGTAAAGAAGCAAAGATATTAGGGGCCTGGACATTCGACTCCCTAATTAGCAGCTGTTGGCTTTCTCCTTGCTGTCCTGTCTGCCTTGAGCAAACACTACCAGTCTAAAAGTCAGACAGAGAGGAAAGGTGTGGTAACACCCGCCTTTAATCCCAGCTCTCCTGAGACGAAGACAGAAGGATCTCTGTGAGTTCAAGGCCAGCCTGATCCACGTAGTAAGTACCAGGACAGCCAGGGCCAGATAGTGAAATCCTATATAAACAAATAAGAAGGCTAGTCTACCCTTATGCTCGCCCCGGTCATTCTGAAGCCTTCACAGGCACCTTCATAAGAGTTCACAGTGTTTGCAGTTGACTCTTTTGACTCCTGGAGGCCCAGTGTCAGTCAGAGCTTCAAACAGTTTGAAACAGACATTTTTGTCTCTAGATGACCCAACAACCATCTCCACCTCATCAAGAAGGGAACACTTCCTATCCTGGCCTAGCAGAAGGATTGTTTTCTCATGAAACCTCAAACTCCCATTGCCTGTGAGGTGTGCTATGATTGGTCCAAACGTAGGTCCCTGCCTATATGTGGCTGTTCAGGAGTTGGCTAGGAGACATCTTGCTGTGCTGTCTCTCACTGCTGAGACTTCAGGCCCAACAAAGGCTTCTCTTGAGTGTTCTTTTCTTATCTACCCCTAGTGGTCTGTGCTGAGCTGGAGGCACAAGAAAAAAATCATCAAAGAAATCAAGACAGCAGAAATGGGGCAGCCCAGGGGCAGCAACAGCAGGCACGCCCAAGAACTAGCTGCTTAGCAGAAGACGAGGTAGGGCTGAGCAGGCCGAACTGCAAAAGCAGCAAGTGGCCGGTCGGCTGCCTGACAGCTGAAGGAAAGAGTGGGAGGCGCAGCAAAGCAGGGTGGTGGGAACGGGAGAGATGGAGACCTGGGAGGCTGAAGCTGTGGAGAACCAGAGGAAAGACACGCAAGCCTGGTCCCTGGAAGAGTTCCAAAGAGCGGATAAGCCTGGGTAGTCAAGGCTCTCATAGCCACGACCAGGAGGCGAAACACGCTGCTGCCAACAGCTGAGGAATCTTGGTGCCCAGGTCCGCCAGGAAGGTGTGATGCCATCTGCTGTCTGCGGAGCCCATACTTCCTGTAACACCTGGAGAGCTGAGAGCCCCTGTCCTGGAGTCCTGAGGAGAGCTGTGGTGTTTAGAAGGTCCCACCTGCTGCTTTTCCTGATTGCTGACACCATGGCTTCTCTGGTGTCTGATGCTGAGGAGCGCCCAAGGTGACTAAAGGCCAGCACTGGAAGAACCACTTGCCTACCAAGGGTTTCTATGCAGGCAGAGTGTGAGGATCTGAGAGAGCTGACCGTGGTATCACCCCTATGTAGTGGAACTATAGACACCAGAGGATGTGACTGAGAAGCCCTCTCTCTAATCCATCCTGGCCCTGAATTCTGACTTTTTCACTCACTGTCTACTAATTGTACATTATATATGGTCTGTAAAGAACGGAATTATTCTGGCTCTTTGTCCCCATCTCAAAAAAAAAAAAAAAGTGCTCACAGAGTTGCCTGAGAAGTATCTTTGTCTGTTTTTGCTTCATTCTGGTAGGGTTTTTGCTGTTGTTGCAGCCATTAGCTCTTTTGGGTTTTGTGAGGGTTTTTTCTTTGCTTGTTTGTTTGTTGTTGCTGCTGTTGTTTAGGTGAATATGGCAGGATACACTAGCAATCCCGGCACTAACGTGGTTGGTACGCTTGTGTCCAGCCTGAGCTACATCTTGATGCTTGTCTTGGAGAAACAACCTTGGAAAATGAAATGCCTCTTGTGAGCACAAAGAGTGGAGGCCAGGGCTGGGCAGAGCAGAGCACCTAAGCTTCTCTTCCTGCACCTAAGCTGCTAAAAGCCCCTGGGCGCCACTGTAGCATTTAGAGGTGGGGGTGCCTCATTGGGTTTGGGTTTCAAAAGCATCATTGACTGGAGAGGCGATATTCATCTGAGAGCCTGTTGCCACTGTTCCCGGGAGAATCCACCCCACCACTGGCCATTATTGCCCCATGTTTGCCCTGCGTCTCTTCACCACAGTCTTGGGCTTACATGGGAGCCTCTCTCGCTCTTCTGCACTGCATTCAAGAGAGGGGGAGGCAGCCTTAGGGCTCGGAACCTTCTCAGGAATTTCTCTCTCCTGTCCCATTTTCCCAGATTCAATAATCAGCAATTGCTAGGGGGGTAGGAGAATTAGGACCCTTCCACAGTTCCCAAGGTTCTCTGGTCCTTACCTAGACATCGGCCAAGTATGTGAACAGCCAGGAAGCAGAGAAAACCCGAGGGGAGGCCAGGCAATATAATGGTGGCCTTGTTTAGGTGCCATGACTTACATAACCCAATTGTGCCTGCTTCAGCCTGGTGAAGGGCCTGGATGGAAGACCGGAACCATAGTCAGGAGCCGCCAGGAAAGCTGGGGGAATACCGGCAAGAAGCAAGTGGCAGGGAGAAGGCTTTGGAGATGTGACTGTCACGCCCAGGGAGGCCCTCGATCATCACCCACATGGCCCTTCTGTGGCAGGTATGGCAAGACCTGGCCCAAGGCTTTCAAAACTCCAGGGTTTCCCAATCTCCGCTAGTGGCTCTCCGCCTCCACTGGCCAGCAATAGGGTTTACCCACAGCTCAGTTCCTGTAAGGAGGATTGTTTGGGGGTGTGGGGGAGTGGAGTGGGATGGGTATAAGAAGGAAGTGTGAAGCCTGGGGAAGTGACCCTGTCTAGGAAGCTGGGTACCAGGAGAGGCCACCATGCCCAGCTCTGCCGAAGCCAGGATGGGTGTGAGGGTGGCGCTGACAGGTCTCTGGGCTGGGTCAGGTGGGACTGGAGATTTTTCAGACCAAAGGGTTCAGACTGCTCAGTTCCTGCACAGGGGGCCCAGCCTTCTACCTGCTACAGGCGGGTGGGGAGGGGGCAGGAGGAAGAGCAATCGCCCCTCCCCTGCCACCAGCTCTGACCCTGATTTCCCCACAGGCTTTGCGGTCCTGATGCTGATCCAGTGCTGTGAGTACCCGCCCCGCTAAGACCTGGAGGAGGTCTTAGCACAAAAGAATACTCCTCTGGGTTTCTTCTGCAGCTCACAGGGCTTGGGAATACTTGTTGAACAAGGTGATGGCATACGTATACGTATATGTATATGTTTTCATCTCCACTCTTCCATTTACTTGAACTTTTTTTTTTCAAAACAACAAACTTAAAAAGACTCAGATTCAGTGAAGACTGCTTCAAACTACCCTAGGAAACAGCTATCAGGAGCCACAGAGATGTGTGAGGTCTACTAAGAGGGATTTCATCTAGAGTAAGAGGAATTCAAATTAGAACAAAGGAAGAACTTCCTAGCCCCTGTGATAAGGAGCCCTAGTCTGGGGGCTGCCGTTCTGGTCATGTTACCAGGTAAGGTCACTCCCACCTAGAGACAGAGAAGAGATCCACAAAGCCACTCTTTAATCAAAGACCCCACTGTAGGGTTGTGTTAGGAATATTTCCTAACATGAGCTCCCTACCGATGCAAAATTCCCAACCAAGCCAAATCAAAACAAGCCAAACTAAGAAATATCCAAGTTTAATGGGAGTTCTGCACTCTCGGGTCGCCCCGAGGGGAAACGGGAAACCGCCTCGCTAATGAGACCACCGGGAGGAAGAAAAAGGGACCACGTGTTCCTCTTTGGGGGGCTTATTTAAATACCCAGGGAGGGGTTGGGACCTGGCCTTCTGGGATTTGGAGTCCAGACCAGACCTGGGGGCTGGGATAGATGCAAGGGGCTGGGGCCTTCGCTCCCAACTTGACAGGTAGGGCTGCAGGCAGGGCATCTTTTGACCCTGGATGGCACAGTCAGGCCTCTGTCTCTTTGGCACCACCTCCAGGAAGTCCTCAGTCCTTGGGCTGAATCACACCATTCCCACTCATCAGCTTGCACCAGGCAGTGGAGGCTGGGCCCCGCTCCTTTCCTTTAAAGATTTTTCATTTTGCTCAACACTCTGTCCCCACCCCCAGCCCACGCCGCCTCCATACCACATCGGTGCTCAGTCCCACCCCAGATTTCTCCTTCAGGCTCTGCGTACAAGCTGGTCTGCTACTACACCAACTGGTCCCAGTACCGGGAAGGCGATGGAAGCTGTTTCCCAGATGCCATTGACCACCTCCTATGCACCCACATCATCTACAGCTTTGCCAACATCAGCAACAATGAGATTGACACATGGGAGTGGAATGACGTGACCCTCTATGGCACGCTGAACGCGCTTAAAACCAGGTGGGGTCACAAGCTGGCCAGGAGAGGGGAGGAGGGGCAGGTAGCTGGGCTGGTCCTAGAGCAGGACAACTTGGTCCAGGAGGGCAGTGACCCAAGGACCCTCCTGGAGAAGGATTGTGGGGAGCCTTGGCTTCAGGGGGAGGGTACCCTGGGTGGGTGATGCTGGGATGGTGACAAGGTGACACAGAGCAGCACCGAGATTCAGGGAAGGGACCTCTCACCCCCACGACAGCTCTGTGGAGCACGGTGCCACCTGTGAGCCCCCTTTAACATTGCCCGCTGTGGGAACCTCTGAGTCACCACCATGAAGCCTGTGTGCGCCCAGAACACCAATGTCAGAGGCAGGCACCTAACCCAGCCCCCTGCTAGCCAGAACTCTTCTATGGGCTGCAGATACAGGGTCTGTGACATCATGACTGCTTCTCTCCACCCCTCCTCTCCCCACTATCCTGCCCCACAGAAACCCCAACCTGAAGACCCTCCTGTCTGTTGGAGGATGGAACTTTGGCTCTCAAAGGTAGGACTCATTGCTGGGGCAGGGTGGAGTAGAGTCAAGGCTCGGTGGTGAGGGTTACGGTTGCTCGAGTCTAGCAGGGCACCGAGGCCTCAGGGGTGGTTGCCTTATATGTATTTGAAAAACAAAAACAAAAACAAAAACAGGGCCAGAGAGGGAGAGGGACTTAGCAAAAAGAAAAAAAAATCACAAAATGCTTATTTGTTTTCTGTATTTTTTTTATATAAATTGCCAGGTTTGCCTCAAACTTACTACATAGTTCAGGCTAGCCTCAAACTTTAGACAATTTTCCTGCCTCAATCCCCAAATGCTGGGATCGTGGGCATGTGCCAGTGTGCCTAGCTCTTGCAAAGCTCTCATTACTATATCTTAGGCATGAAAACAACTTCCAAGTTACTGTCAAGCAGGTTGGGTGGGGTGGGAAGGTAGCAATGGGGGTGGAAAGGGTTGAGACTGTTAAAGGGGCCGTGGAGTCATCAGAGCAGAGCCAGGTCAGAGTGAGGAGGCTGGAAGGCCACCAGTATGCTTCCCTGCTGTTATGCCAACCACAGCATCAGGTGTTATAGTTACCCCATTTTACAGATAGGCAATGTGACTCAGGTTGCAACCTGCTCAAAATGGCAGGCCAGTCTAGCCCCTAAGCACACACTGTTCTAAGCTCCGAGCCTGGTGCTGTCCCCAGAATGTTCTCCTAGATCTGGCAGTTCAGGCTCCCGGTTCCCAAGTTCTGTGCTGGTTTTGTTCTAGATTCTCCAGGATTGCCTCCAACTCTCAGAGACGCAGAACCTTCATCAAGTCGGTTGCCCCATTCCTGCGGGCCCATGGCTTTGATGGGCTGGATCTTGCCTGGCTCTACCCTGGTCCAAGAGACAAGCAGCATCTCACCACCCTCATCAAGGTACTTGCCACAGGGCAGAGGTGTGGGGGGAGCATCAGCATGTAGTGAAGATCTCTTCACTGACGAACCTCCCAGGGATGAGCAGAAGGGCTTCAGCAAGGAAGACATGTTAGAACCACTGTGGGTGGTGGGGGCAGAGTCCTAAGAGGCCGAAACCAGGGGCTGAGCAGGGTGCCCACTCTACATGTGAGGTGTCCATTGTCTAATCTCCAGTCCCAAACTGATGCCACCAGCTTCCCAACATGCATTGTGCACACAGGTCAATCTGAGGGTCAAGTCCCTGCAGTTTTCAGAGGCAGAGAAAAGCTGTCAACAAACCGCCTGTAGTACCAGGGCAGATCCCTGTGACCTTGTAACTTCGTGTAAAACAAAATGCAGACTGAGGGACACTTATCTTCCAAGGTCATCACCCACAGTATGGTGCCCCCAGGAGAGGTGTGCATCGGTTTTGAGGACAATATTGGTCCAAACCATATTGTGTGTATATATACATATATATACACATATATACATACATACACACATACAAATATATATGCAAGTTTGAGTGTGTGTGCGTGTGTGCGTGTGCATGTGTGTGTGTAGAGAGGTAAACATACATGTGTAGGGGTGCATACACATATGTGCAAAACATATGTGGAGGTCAACTCAAGTGTCATTCTCAAGCACTACCCAGCCTATTTTATTTTTTTGAAATGAGGGTTCTCATTGGCCTGGAACTTACAAATAGAGTACGCTGGCTGGCCAGCAAACCCCGGGGATTGGCTTGCCTCTGTTTCCCCAGTGCTGGGGTTACAAGCACGCACTCTATGCCTAGGTTTTTACTCTTTTCACATGGGTTCTGGGAGACAAACTCAGGACCTCATACCTTACAGACAAAGCTATTTCCCCAGCCCCCCGATCATACTCTAGCAAAAGCACAGTGTCCTGAAGATGGGACTGGGGCAGACTCCTCGCTCTGCCTGAACACACAGAGCTGTGGGGGAGGTCAGCAAGACACCCACCCAGGGCCTTGGTCTCCCCACATCAGCCTCTCTCATGTGCCTGCTTCCCTGCTTGCCTCCCACCCAGGAACTGAAGGCCGAATTCACAAAAGAAGTCCAACCAGGGACAGAGAAACTCCTGCTCAGTGCAGCTATGTCAGCAGGGAAGGTGGCCCTTGACAGTGGTTATGACATCACCCAGATATCCCAGTAAGTCTCCTGCCCTGGCAGCACCTCGGAAGCCTCTGCCGCCGGCAACACTTTTCCCCAACCTGCCCTAGCATCCCATGAGACTCAGGAGTTCCAAAATGATCCACAAACGTTGACAAGTCTCTCCCCTCTCCATGACTCAGTTTCCCAGTTGTTAAGTGGGCCACAATGAGCCCTATACTTTCTTTTCCACTTGGAATGCTGTTGGCTAATGGAGAACACGGCTGTGAGTGAATTTTGAAAGTGGTAGTAGGTGCTCTCTCAGCGCTAAGCCCAGCTGAGTGCTAGATACAGGAGGGACAACCCACAGCAAGAGAACATTGTGTGTCAGGACACAGAGAGAGGCAGCTCCCTTTCCTATCATCCAGATTTTTCTCCTTACACAGGAGTTTGAACTGCCAACAGTCAACTCTCCCAAAGGCTCAGGCAAGTCACAGAAAACCCAGCAGAAAGGAGCAAGGATCTTCGTTCATCTTTAGAACCTTAGGGATAGAGTTAGTCCACTGTTTCAAATGTCCCATGGGAAAGAGGGGGTGCACCCATTTGTTCCGAATCTCCAAAGCTTCTGCTACAGTCCCTTCTCCGTAGGGTTATTGAGCACTCCCTGCCCGTGAGTGAATGTAGGCTGAGCCAGCTTTTGATATCGCTCCTTCC